GCTGTTTTCTAATGAACTGAGATAAGCAGGGACTGTTCCTTGGGGCAGTGCCTGAGGCTGTGTGCTAAGGGAACTTTCTGTCAGGTCCATCCTGAGTCAGATACTGTCTTAGTACCTCAAATTCAGAAACAGCCTTTTTTATTACTGTTAAAACACTCTGTTCTGTTCTGACATTTTATCTGAAGGACATGAAGAATGGTGTGAATTTCTGAATTCTGCTGTGTGTCAGGGGTCCATGCAGAATTGTAAGATGTTGTTTCCTACAGAGTGTAGCAGCTACATGGGATACATTACAAGTACCTTAGTGGCACAGACAGTTTAAGAACATCTTTGTATTGGAAGTGGTTTTGACCTGTTAGATACCCAGAAAACTCTAGGAGAATATCCATATACAAATGTGTGTTTTCTGCTGTGGTACATTGACTTCAGCTGGCTGTCAAGTGCCCACCAAGAATTTTCTCACTCCTCCTCCTCAGCAGGACAGGGGAGAAAAATACATAAAATAAAAATTAAAACCACATGGGTAAAAATAAAGATAGTTTGATTAAAAAAACCCAAAGACCATATGTAGAAGAAAAGAAGAATGTATTCTCTAACTACGTCAGCGGATGATGTCCAGTTTCTTCCCGGGAAATAGGGACTCAGTGTGTAGCTTTGCAAGACAAATGCCTTAATAACAAACACTCTCCCACCTTCTCATCCTTTCTCTCATCCTTTATTGCTGACCATAACATCATATGGTATGGAAATTTTAGTCAGTTGGGGTCAACTGGTTTTGCCCCCTCCTGCTGTCTTGCTCACTCCCAGCCTACCAGACTCTGAGCGTGGGGGTGTGGGGTGAAGCTCTCTCCCAGAGCTTCAATGCTGTGTGAACACTGCTCAGCAGTGGCCTAAAAAACTGTGTTACCAACACTCTCCTAGGTACCAATACAAAGTACAGCACCCTGAGGGCTGATGTGGGGAAAGTTAAACCAATCCCAGCCAGATCCAATACATCTACATGTAAAAAAATGTCTATACTTGAATCCTATTGGGGAAGAATATTTCCTACAGCAGCTGGAGAAAGAGGGAAGGAGAGAGGGATAGGCATTCTGTTACAAGAGGCACTTGGCTAAAACGTTGCAAAGAATGAGTCAAAAAGAGCTCCCACTCATTTGGCTGTGACCCAAGTGGGAAAAGTAAGTTGTTTAATTTTTGCAAGAAGGGATGATCTAAATGAGCAGTAACTGCAATAGTCTTGATGGATTTCTTCCCTTCCCAATAATTTTTTGCTACTACTACTTAGTTCTAGTAATCCAGATGAGCTATTATGAAATTGTGGCAAACTGTTAGGCATCATACAGCCTTCATGGAGTAGAGCACACTCGGACTTGTGTCCTTCCAATAGTGCTTAGAGCAGATATACTTTTTTTTCTTTTCCCAAAAATATGCATGTGCATTCAGGGCTCAGCGCAATATGAGAATTTCTGAAGGACAACATCAGTCTTCTCAGAGACTGACTGAGGGAATTCCAGCAGTAATTCCTGTCATCAGAGATGGGAGATTTCTAGGAACTAGTTTTCCCTTGCTTCACAGGGAGTATGCAATCCTGAGCTAATGCTGACTCAACAGTAATAGGGTGTGAGAAATTGCAGATGCAGCAGCTGTAATTGCTCGAGGAGAAGTCCTTGCCTATCCATGAATGATAAAAATTGAACCTCACATGCCAGTGGCAATTTTGAATAAATTACTCAGTAAACTGATTAGATTTTATGTGAGTAAATTATAATGGGCAGGCAGTAACTGAAAAATCTCAACAGATACAAACTTTGCTATTAAGCTCCTTTTTAAAACATTAGTTGAAATATTGTGAATATATTTTAATAAGGTATTCAAAGAACAACAGTGTCTTTTCTATTTTTTTCTTGCCTCTGTCTGCTCCTAGGAAACCCCTTGCTGTGTAAATACAATTACACTATGCTTGCCTATCACAAGAACTTTTGCACATAGTTCTTTTTTTCATTATATAGTTTCCTGAGATGTTAGCTCTCCAGACATGGAAAACAAACTTGAGCAGTATTGCCTTTGATAATTGCTGTCTGTGTTAAAGTATGGGTGTGTTTTGTTCTCAGTAAGGACTAACAGAGCACTTCTGTAATACAAAAGAGGTCATGACCCAGAGATAGTCACAACACCTGTTAATAATGTGCATGGATTCCTGGGACCACAGGAGACTCAGCTTTTTCCATGATACATGGCCCTACGTGCTTTTGCATAGGAATATTGAGGTAGGACAAAAAGTTCCTAGATATACGGGAGATAAGGTGCTTGATACCAGTACTGGCTACTGGTTATTTTCCTACGGTGATGCAGGAGTGGCAGCAGCACTTAAACTTGTAGTACCAGAAAAATTCACATCACCTATTTGCATTTTTAATGGGTTTCATATATTTGTGCTTATCGTTTATTGAGCATAATGGATTTTTCTCCTTCGAATTTGTGTACAGAGATACTTTGTGAAGGAAGAGACTCCTTTTTTTAACAGAGAGTTTGTGAAAAGTCCTGCCTCCAAATCTGTGAGAGATGAAGAAGGCGGTTTCTTGGCACTGTCATACTAGACCTCCTTGGAGAGAGTGTCTCCACCAAACAGCTTTGAAGCTGCTAGTATTTAAAGTGACATTCTTAACCTTCCAGAAATGTCAGATAAAGATATGTTCACAGAAAGCTTTGGTGGTGCCAGACAGTCAGCAGTCAGATCTGTGTAGTTAAGTAAAAATAAGTATTGTATTGCCCACAGATTTGCTGGGGACATGGAGATCTCTTGATTCTGTAGGTATGTCATTATTGGGAAAGATACCTTGTGATGCTTCCCTTTGGTGACTTGAGACATTTTTGGATTTTTTTAGTTGTGTGTGATAAGCTTGAGAGTTGTCAGTGGTAGACCACCAAATTTAAGAGCTGATTGCTTTTCAGCAAAGCCTAAGAAGTATCACATATTTTGAGGTTTCATGCAAAAATTGACAGCTTTCTAGAGGAGGGAAAGATGTCTGAATGCCTGACTTGACACTATTAACTGTCAGAGTCTGCCAATGCAGATAAATGATTTTGTGTTTCACTAGTATTATCAGAATTTAGTGGTCCCTGACACCTTGAGAACCCAGAACACTGGGCAGGCATGTGATGATACCTCTTCAGAACTCCTCCAATGTCCAGTGACTTCAAACCTGGGATATCCTGAAAAGTTTGGGGTAAGACATTTTCTTAATAAAATTGCCTCCACTACTTTTCTTCCATGATTTTCTTAACTTTTTCTTTTTTGGCTTAAGTACAATTTTAGAGTCTACAGCAATCACTGTCTGGAAGCTCAGCTACGCGTTCTGTGCAGAAATACCCCAAGTTGGCCATTTTGAAGTCACCATGTGGGGAGTTCCCTTGCCTTTGATCCACCAGATAAAAACTGACTATGAAAGTTCAGAATCAAGTTTTTAGTTTCATAACCAAAGAGAGGCTAGATAACAAACTACCCATGTTTATAACAGCTGCTGAGATGTCTTGAAATTGAACCTTTGTTCATCAGCATGAAACATGTTTGTGTACAAAACCATGCAATTTTAAATTTCTTTTCTTACAAAAGAAGCCTGTGCATTTGCACTGTGCATAAATCACTCAACTCTCCTTAGCAATTTTTGCTCCTGTGGCCTATATCAACTTCTTTGTCTGAGTTGAAGCATTTCTAAAGCAGACTAAATATTTACACCAAAAAAAAATCAACATTTTGCTAAAGTCTAAAGTTAGTAACTCATTTGAGGAAAAATTATCCCTATAAACTCAGTATGGATTTAGCCTGTCTGGCCTGCTATTAGTCCCTCAGCACCCAGACAGGCCAGCCTGGCTGCCAGTCAGCACATCAGGCCAGTTTAAAGCCAGGGACAGTATTTGGTGATGTGCCTCAATGGTGAATAGAACAGGGGAGAAACAAAAGGGACTGTGGAAGTCCTTCTTATTAGGAAGTATTACTGATGGAAAAGGGAAGAACTAGAAACTATGGGAATGCAACTCAGAGAGCATGATGAGACCAAGTGAGATTTCTGCTGGGAGATACAGGAGGTCAAAATGTAAATAATATGAAAGAAATGGATGAAAAGTAAGACTTCATTAGTTTTGTTTCTAAGGAAAGAACTTCCTTACCATCAAGTATATATTTTCGACTACAAATTAAATATTTGCAAACTACAAACAAAATATTTGCAAAAATAATTCAGGAAATATTTCATAGAAATGTAATTTTCTCTGAATTTACTAAAAAATTTAATCTTACTGAAATATTTTAGCTCATTTTCTCAGACTCTGAATGGAAGAGAAAAATTATCTATGCAGAGGTACACTTCTCTTGCTATGAGGTAAGACTTACTTCCATGTGTAAAACATGTTTTTTATGTGAATGCTATATAGTAGAAACAAACTGCATATGTTTTAATAGGTTAAGAAGAAAAAAAAAAAAAGGTAAAGCAGATGACTGGACAAATTTAAAATTCATAAATTTTCTCTAAAATTTTCTGCTGTAATATTGTCTGTGAATTTCCTGATTCCTCAGTTATCAGAAAAGCTGACTTTGAGGAAAGAAAGTATAAATTTGTTCATATTTTTGTCGAAATTTTCATGTCTCTTTATTTTTTACAAGCCATATTACAGACTTGGGCACTCAGACTTAGCATAGCCCTAAACATAAAATGGTAGCAAGTTGCTCTATTACAGAGCAGAACTAAATTGAGAGAAGGCTGTGCAACAAGCACCAGATATAGTCCCACTAGAGCTGGGATTATAATCTGTTCAATTTGAGGTCACCATCTTTCTTTTCACAAAATAAACAAAAAACCCCCAAACCAAACATTTAATTAAAAACCAAACAAAAAACCAATAAAACGACAACAAGAAAAACCCAAACCAGAACCAAGGAAAATTTTTTTGCTAGAGCACAGATTCAAAAACCGGAAAAATATTTGAAATGTTTGACAAGTTACCAGTGCAATTCTTCTGGAAGTTGGGATTCTCAAGTGGGTGCCCTGGGATGCGGCACTGGAATCTGTGCTGCCAGAACTCGGGAAACCAGGGGTTGCGGGTGTTGGTGTCCAGCCGCAGCTTCAGGTAGTAATCATCAAACGCCAGCACCTCAGGAGACTGCAGCTTGATAGTGATGCCTCCATTTGCTTCGGGTTCGTAGCCTTCAATGACCTCATCTCTGTCTGCCCAGCCGTCACTGAAAAGAGGCAAAAAGCCGCTTATTACACAAAGACAGAAAGCTGGTTTTGGAAAAGCCACCAGCCAAAGGCAGGCCGGCACCCTTGGAAGGAAGTGATTAATGGGGAATCTAAAGATGTAAAATCCAGGCAGAAAAAGCAGAGTGATAGAGACTTGTAATGAGCAGTCTGACTGATTTTGTGCAGAGTCCTCATTAACTCATCCAGAATAATGAGGCTTTATCCTTGTCCTTCTGGAAAGGTTATTTAGGCATAGCTTGTGCTGTGATATCCCTGTGACTGAAGAGATTCTACTTAATTTCTGCTGTCCTGTAAGAGGTGGAAACAGAAAATTACTGTTGTTGAAAAGGAAAACAAGCTAGAATTCTGGAATTTTTTTTTTCAAAATAGACCTCAGCATGTATGGATCATACAGGTGGAAGAGCAAGTCAAATCAAACATGACATGAGAATTGGATTCTGTTAGAAGAGAATGAAGTAAGCCTACTCAACCAAACCAGAAAGAAAACCAAATGCTATTCTCCTGCTGCATGGGATTTGTGATAAAATGACTTTTTTTCCCCCCCACATCCTTCTTCTTTTTTATTTTTTTTTCTTTTTTCTTTTTCATTAAGAAAAATGGCTTTCTGCTTTACTTCCCTGTTTTTCATATATGAGATGCTTTTGAAAACCTGAAGATAAAGCTCTTTCTTGACAACATTATTTCATGGAAAGTCTATCTTAACAGGTTTGAATAAAGTCCATTGGGCTTAGCATCTGAGCTTTAGTTTAGTTCTTTAGTTTTTTCTCTCCTTCTTTAAGTGCCCATTGATTTACTGTCACTCTGCCGTTCTTATTAGCATCCCCCAAGAACAATGCTCTTACAGTCTAATTTAAGTGCAAATATAAGTCAGACATTGCTTAATCTTAAAATGCTGGGCATGTAATGAGAGGAATAGATTATTCGGGCACCTCAGATCCAGGTCTATTGCATTCAGAATCAAATCAGCTGCACTGCTTCTTTGAATAGCAGACAGATGAAGCACTTCCAGCAGCGAAGAGCTCAAGAGGTAAAATGCAATTCACCACTGAGAGAAGTCTCAGATTCACCCAAAGGAGAATTGCATCCTGAATTCCAGACAGACTGAAAGAAGGTCTTTGTTAGAAGCCTTTTACACACAGCCTTGAGAAGAGTGTTGTGGTGCAGACCATTACCAGCTGAGGGCATTTATGAGACACTCAGCGCAGGTGTGCCTGGATCACCACAAAAGAAAATATAGATGATTTCAAGTAGCAAGCTCTGTCACAGTCCTGGTCAAACAGCTGTAAAGTGACTATGTACTGGACATATGTGAGCTTTTGGCCCTCAGCCACCACACTAAACAGCTGCATGGTTTAGTTGGCATTCACATTAACTGCTGCATCTCTGCTCTAAGGACACAGAAAGAAAATGGCAGTTTTCCATGAAAATACAGGAAAATCCATGTAGTAAATTCTTTCCACATCTGAAACACAACACATGCCTTTATTATGGAAGTTATTTGAGACATGGAGCATCTGGCAGTGCAGAGTAATCAATACATTCCTTTCAACCTAGTCTCAGTATCTCAAAATCTATATTTTAAGATGGCACTCCATGGCATCTTTGAGGCAGGATTCCTCCTCTGTTTCCCCCTTTGCCAAGGCCTTGCAGTAGAACCACCCAAAATTTCTGAGTTTACAAACTGCTGACAAATATCTTCATACAGCATGAGATACACACATGTGACTGTTGCATTTCAAACACAGTATAAAAGCAAAGAGCTGGGGGAGATGCAGGGTGTAGGTCACAGGAGGGAGACAGAGATTTTGGAAGTGTCCCAAAGGAACTCTCTCTGTCAAGCTGAACCTGTCAGAAGCTGCTGGTCACTTCTTCCCACAGCCTGTGGTGCAGGTTACTCAGTGCCTTGTACCAATACAGCCCAAGTGACACCCACCTGGCTCAGCCTTGGCCTGACAGCTGCACTTGAATTGCTTCAGGGGTGCACAGAGTTACAAACCTACAATTTGTCCATCCCTGCTCCCTGTCCCAGCAGACTGCCTGAAATTCTAGAGGGAAAGATGCCATGGTTCAGCTTCTCTGCATCACCCCACTCTCCACTTGTCCATATGCTGAGGACAAACAATAAAATGTACCATGCTCCCCTGACTACTTCATGACAGACCATGGTGTAGGTAATCCTGGTCTAGATAACCTATAGAAAAGGTAAAACCATGAAAATTAACTTTCTAGATTTCACATAATTCAATATGGAAATTTTCACTAGAGAGGAGAAAAAGGCATAATATTTATTTTTTCTTATGTGGGGGAAAGTAAGAAAGAGATCACTCTTACAGTATGAGTAATTAGCTCCTAATTACTTAATTATCTCATTATTTGTCACAATATTTTTGGCTTTCAAACGGTAGACTCAAGCACAAACATTAGCAAGACATAAGAATTAAGTAAATTGAGCCATTTTTTACAAGACCTTGTTGAAATGAGGTAGTTTTGCTACTGCGTGGATTCCTACCAGCCAAAAAATTTATTTTCCTCTCCCCTTCCCCAATATGTTTAGCTTGGAAAATGGCCACATAAATTCTGAAGACAAAATGGAACTAATCTCCAAAACAAGAGCAAGTGTATTTTGAGTTCTCTGAGGGCAGCTCATTGAAAAGTTCCCCTAAACTGAAACACAGATTGTCACCGAATATTTCTTTGTCTCTTTCTGGCTCCAAATACTTTTAATGCTTGTTTCAGCTTCCTCAATTTGTTAAATCTGTCTGCTAAGTCTCATCCTCAGCAAAATGTGAAGAAAAATCTCTTGAATCAGAGAAAAAATGGTTCATGGGTATTGAAGCTCATATGGGAGCTTAGTTCTACTTTCAGTAAAATCAAGGAAGCAAAGAAGAGTCCTCTGGTTTCTTAGAGGATCCATGCCATCCTGGCAGCTGCAGGCTGACTGAGGTGAAATTTGCCCTAAGTGGGATTTGCAGCCCTCCCTGCAGCTGTGGGAGGATTATTAGAGATCCAAGATCCTGTTATAACACCTTTCTGGATTCCTTTTTGCTGTTTATATGCATTTTAAAAAGATTGTCTGGAAGCACTGCACCCCTGGTGTCATATGAATAAATGAATAGTGGTCTAGAAGATGGTAGGGAAAAAATTATATTTTTATTGCTTGGTGACAGCATGATACTGATGGTCAGATGACAGTGACAGAATCAAAGACCAATAGCTGAGTCAACATAAAAATGAAATTTCATTTTAAATAGGAAGCACATACCATTCTTTTGTTGTCAGAACAAGAACATTCCACCTACTATCCTCCTTTCATCCTGCTGAATAGCAAGTAGCACTACACACAGCACTTTTTGCTAGCCTGTTTTTCTGTGCCTTTGCTAGAGATTTCAGGAGGTGGCCCAATATCCATTACTGAAACTGCCATCCCTGCTAAGTGTCCATGTGTGTGACAATCTAGCTTTGAAAGGTGCTGGGTACCTTGTGCAACTGTTGATCTGAAGCTCTGTGAGGGAGTTTCAAGTGTGATGACAGAAACAGTGAGGGAGGGAAAAGCATGTGGGTGTCAAACTAGCAACCACTCTTTTTGCTCTTAGGAGAGAAAGAACAGCTTTTGTTGTGGTTTTCTGGTGTTTATCACAGTTAAAACGGTCACTGATACTCCGCAAGCTGCTCTTGGTCCAAGTTCCAGTCTGGTGGCTGATATTAATGATACCAAATCCAAATTTCAATGTTCACTCACAAAAAAAAATCAAGTGGAAAGGGAAAAAGCTCAAAGCTACACCAGAATATCAGAAGTCCTAGTTACCACTATCACAGACAGGATTTGAAGAAAGAAAGCTAGCTTTTTTTTTCCAATCAGTTTACTGTTCTGTTAATATGTAACAATGGACATCACTGAATTGTGGCTTAAGCATCTTAGCCTCTCTATATTTTCTAAACTGCGGTCACATATATTCTTGTGACTGAAACACCTGAGAAATGGAATGGATTTCCAATTTCCTCTCCTCTTCCAAACATGAATACTGTCAGCTGCTTTTCACAAGGGCTGATGAGACAACCAGCAATCAGCCTTTCTATTTTCATCTCTTCACGGCTTAACTCTTAAGTGATGCAGCAGCAGTTCTCTGCTTCTCAGCACAGTGCTCAGAGAGTTACTCATCCAGATGCTTTTTCCAAACAGGCAAACCCACAAAAGTAAACACACTATTGTTTATGAGGACTGCTTTCCCTGTGATTATTGTCGAGTTAGCATCCTTTCACAGGTAATGAAAATGACACACATTTGTTAGTCATGGATACTGACTGGCAATTTAATCCCTGCACCCTTGAATTGTTTGATCTGACTGTACAAAGCTATAGAGGGCAATTGATTTAGAGTCCTCTGACTGGAGAGCTGCAACACCCTTCTGAATTAGCCGAGGTTATGTTTTCTTAAGAAGTTTTTATTCATTATGAGATATTTTCTTTCTCTATGGATAAGTTATAAAAGAGAAGAAATTAAGAGCAGGAAGCCCTTTTAAGTGCTAAATGAATTATTTCTGCAATAATCCTTCTGCCTACAGCAGATATTCTTGTCATTATAAAACCAAATAAGTCAATCATATTAACATGATTTCTATCTCTTTAGTTTCAAGCATTCAACCTTCACAGCAGCTCCCTGCAGCTATCCCATTCAAACAGGGTGACAGGGAACTACGTGACCATAATTGTCACACAAAAGGCTCAGAATCTACATTTGTGCCTTGCTTCATTTCCACAAAATTAAAGTCCATGCCAGTATACCTCCCCTGTCATGTTGATATATGTCCCTGCAGAGCCCAGTGCTGAATGCCTTCTTGCCACAGTCTCAAGGCTGCCAGCCGGCCTGCTGTTCTGACAAACTTCTAATGCATTTAAGTATGAGAACAGCACCACTCAGAGAATTCAATGTTCAATCAAGTGCCAAGACATTTTGTTGATATGTTAATAGCTGTATTTT